AAGGAATACCTTTTTTAAGATAGCTTAGATAGAGGAGGGAACATTTAAGAGAAGTTAAGGAAAAGCACCACATGGGTGTGGAGCAAAGTATCGCAGGCAAGAGAAAACCAGGCTCAGGGACAGGAATGTGCTCCCACATCTAGAATCATTCCTTTGCCACCTACTGTCATAGACCTCAGACCATTTTTCCCAAATGCAAAAGCAGCCCAACTCCTAAGTCAAACTACATTAATATAACTTTAAAGCATTCCTTTTCTTCTGAGTATGAACATTTAAGTTGGATGTATCTCAGTCATTTAAGAATTTCCTGGAAGTAGAAAACAGGCATCATCTGTTCCTTGTCCAGATAACATCATTGCTGCTTCCATTTTCCAAAAAAGGGAGCACCTCCACTTCACGAGAGAAGCTAGCTAAAACATTCTGTGACACTATCCTCTAAAAGCAGTAAACCAAGAAAAGAGCAGAAGGATTACTTTCCAAAATCTGATATGAAACTATAAAGGAGTCATTTTGCTTTTAATTTTGGAAATCCATTTCATTGGGTACAGTTAGATCCAATGGCAGATTATTTTTTTTTTAATTTTGGAAATGATTTACACATATAAATATATAGCTACATGCTATAATATTTCCCACATTTCCTTTTCACTTAAATCCTATCAATGTACATCCATTCACCATCTTTGAGTAGAAATAAGAAGTGCATGAGATACATCGACACACAGATTTCTATCACACATTCTTAAACATGCTGATGAGAGCCAACCTTTCAAAGAAAACAATCTGCTCTAATGGTCAAAGTGTTCTATGATGTCCAGTTGCTCCCTCATTTGCCATTAGCTCTCTAAGTCCTGTTCATTATGATGCTAATACCTCTAGTAGTTCAGTCCAAGTTCAATTAGCCATCCAGTTCTTTGATTTACATCTGACAAACATCTTAGTGACCAAATGTTTAACAACATTGGTGAGAAATACTAGCATAAGAGTAACAACCTTAAAAAATCAAATTCAAACACTGAATATTCAAGAGAATACATTTCTTGGGTAAACTCACCTACATAGAAATCATTTTTTCTTCATAAACTTTATACTTCTTTTCCCAATTCAAAATGATCCTCTATCTTTAAAGAGAAGGTAAACAAAAGTATGACCTTCTAGTAAAAGATTGCTGAAGTTTAATCGTGTCATAAGCCCACAGTTGCTGACTTGGGGAACAGATTAAAAATTAGCATTTGGTTTCAGTATTTGCTTAATTAACTCTTACTTACAAATCTCAGAATTCACATGTTGGTCAATCATTTGCAATCTCTTGACATTCATGCCACTTAAGTTACAGTCAACCAGTCAACAAGTATTTATTGCTCTGCCAAACTAATGAAATAAGCACAGTAATAACAATAAATTCCTTTTAGGGTTACATATTCTAGAAATGGAACATTAGAAATGAACCATTACTTGTACAAAAACAGCAACAATGACTATTAAGACAATGTTGACTTGGAAGTGCTAGGAAATGTCTTTTAACCCCTTCTAGAAACATAAAAAACACGTCTTCAAGACATTGATTACGGAAAAGTGATTAACCTAAGACATGTATTTTATAATTGCTATTTGATTCTCAAAGATTTTTGTATTAACCAAATGTTAATGGAATTGTAAACTATTAAGTGCCTGTTATATTTTCCATATTTTTCAATTGGCATTGTAATTAAATGACATAAAACTTAAGTAATTAAGTGACATTAAAACTATGAAACCCAGATACTATAAAATTTAAGAAGCCACTAATATGTTATATTTTATGTTAATGTGATGACTGGACTACATTTCTAAATCTTAATTCCTAAAAACAAATATACATTTCCCCCCTTTGGAAAAAAGAAAACACATTTTAAAAAAATACCACAGGGGAATTTTAAGACAATTAAACTATACTATATAATACTGAAATATATCATAAGCAGACATATGTCAGCATATATTTATCAAAACCCACAGGATATACAACACAAAGAGAGAACCCTAATGTAAACTACAAATGTTAGTTAAGATTGTGTCACTATTGGCTCATCATTTGTAACAAGTGTACCATACCAATGCAAGTATGATGGACAGGATAAGACATGAAGAGGTATATGTAAACTCTGTGTTTCCCATTTATTTCTCTATAAATCTAAAGCTACTCAAGAAAAAAAAATCCCTTAAAAAGAGAGTAAATTCAAATATCATGACATTCTTACCTTTGCATTGGTTAAAATTCAATCATAAAATTAAGAGTATCCCTTTTATCATCAGCTACAAATTTAAATCATTTGAAAAAATTATGCCACTATTGATAAGTATTTGTGCTATCTATACTATCAAGCACAAACATATCATTACATTGCTCATTTCCTCTTTTTAGTGCCTACATCTGTACATTCATTTCAGTTGGAGGCTTGAAGATGACAGAGAACGCAGGTCCAAGAGTGTGCAGATGGACATTCAAATTACAAATCCAACAATTCATATAAATCAGTCATAGAGAGGAGGCATACAGTTTAAAGGAAGGCAACGCACTAGAAGCTGTCTATGTTATAATACACCTGTGGGAATCCAGAAGAATGATTTCAGGGGTATTTTTTTTAAATACACTTAAATTGTGGTGTGAACAGGAGAATGATGGTCATTTACATCGATGCAATTCCTCCTAGGCATTTAAAGGGAAAAAGGAGAAATGTTTGAACCACTATAATAGTATCAGGAGTAACCTTGGCATTCCCAAGACTGAGGTTTTTTTGTTTTGGTTTTTTTGTTTTTTGTTTTTTACGAGGGTTCCATTTAGAGTTATCTGATGGTTTTAAACTAATGTGCCCAAGGCACTTGTGTCCAGACCACTAAAGTTATAAAACTTTAAGCTAGAACTTGCCATGAAGACCTAGGTCTCCACAAAAGAAACCAAGAATGCAAAGAATGCTTGAAACAACTCAACCTATCAGTCCATCAAGGAATATCTGAAGAACACTTACTACTCCTCTAACACAGAAATAAGGCTCAAGTTGAAAAGCATTGAGGAGTACTGATACATTGATCTCACAGCTGTATTAACAATTCATAGTTAAATAGAATGAAGAACTCAGAAAATATTTCATGAAAGAGAAATTATGTTTCCACTAGGAAATATGTTCGAAATACATGTTATGTCTATTTTAACAGGGAAGGAAGCCAAAATTTGAGGATAAACCAAAAGCAAAGCACCAGCATATACCTCAGTTGTCCAGATTATGTCTCTCTTGTTAACAATGGCATTGTTATACAAGGTTTCTTCAGTTATGACCTTCATTTTTTTCAATTTCTTTAAACATTTTTTAAACAAAATTTTTTTAAACTCTTTCTCACCATCTTCATATTCCCTTTCTGACTTCCAAATCAATTTCAATTCTGTGTAGACTCACCTTTTACTTTAAAAAAGCTCCTCTATTTCAAAGATTATGGAAAAAAAGAAAAAGAGTATTCAAGGAAATTGCCTTTGTCAAGTTGCATAAATTAACCTCTGTAAGAATGAACACTGAAGTAATTCCAAGTATTGATGGTGCTGCTATTCTGATTCAAACAATGACACTTCCAAAATACTAACAACAATGCAAACCAGTAGTACTTCAATAAAATATTAAACAAAAAACACACATGCTGTGAGCACAGATGAGACACCTTAGGCTTCCTAAACTGACAACAAACAGACCTCAAATTGTTGACTGCCATGGACAACCCAGGTAGGCTGCCCTTGGCTGCGTTCTTAGGACCAATTCGGGATTATGGGGGGGGGGGGGAATTGCAAAATGATTTAATAATTCAAAAAGTTTATTCAAACTATGAAGTGATATTATAAAAACAAATACTGAAAAATATAAACTATGTTGTAAAATAAAATCTGCCAGCATAGGACATGTCTGCAAACAGCAGTCCTTACAAACTTTTCTTGTATCAGGAGCAAATATTTGAAAAAGGGCCTAAAAAAGCTGCACTTGTAACAGTTACCTTCATACTAAGGAGCATGTTATGTCTACTTTGTCTCTATCCTTTGCCTCACTCCCAGCTCTGCATCCCCTACATGGATACAAGTGTACCCTTTCCCCATTGTTACAGAAAACAGCATAAAAACAATCTAGCTGCTGTTGGTACCTATAGAGAGGACTTGTTTCTCTTTCCTGGCAAGTTGTCACTCTTTCCAGCACAAAGTTTTAAAGGGAGTTAAGTTCATAATTATCAATTGTAAGTATTTTCTTTTGTCTTCTACCTGAAAAGTAATATGAATGACTTATGCTTGTTGTTATGTTTGTTGCTAATTCCTTACTTTTAGTCCTCACTTCCAAATAAAAATACCAAGCTGTCAAATATAGCTGCTGGCTAATTTTCTTTTAAGGGAGAATAAAATGAAAAGAGGAGGATTCCTGCCTTTGCTGTCAATCACATCTGCCTGCACGATGAGCTGGCATGTTCTTCTGTTAGTAGACTAGTGATTTATTTACCCAAACTATCCAACTATTTCAACTCACCACCTTCCTTTCTAAGCTTTGAAGACCCCTGGCACTAATATGCATGTCTATCAATTAAAAGCCCTTGTGACTTTCTCCTAAGACTTACTGAAGTCCATTTCAATAACATTATATATGGTCTCTCCCCTCCCACATTTTAGAAACTATAACATATTAAAAATATATTATTTCCTTAAAATTGTTTTACATGGCACTGCAAGACAGTAACCCGATGGTTAGAAATGTTTAGCAAATCATTTCTTTTAACTCAGGGCTTGAGGAGAAATAATCATTTGTATCATAAACAGATGAATTCTAAGCCAGAACTTAAAGCTGAAATTAACTTTTGAGTAGGAGTAAAATTCATCATTTAAAAGAATTGAACACTGTTTCCCATCAAGACTAACAATTTTGAAAATTACAACAGACCCTGTCTTGAACATGAAAAAACAGAAGTCAGAAATTGTCTAAACATTACTCTCTTACCAGAAACGGACTCCAGCAAATGCAGGATACACACATGATAGCCAGGAGCTGGATGACCATTTCCAAATGATGAGACCTGCCTTGTCTGTGCTGTTGACTTTTAAATTTAACTCTTAAAAGTGTAATTCCTGTGATGGCATTGCACAAAAATGAAACACCCAGGGATAAGAGCCCCAGAAAAGAAAAAAGCAGAAGGTAAAATCTATCTTCCCAGTCTTTGATGTGTTCTGTTTTGTAGAAACACCAGGTCCTCGACGCTTGAATTTTATAGTCTCGATGCCCAAGGATGGGCAGCAAAGCTATGAAAACAGCAAACAAACACACACCACTCAATATCATTTTCACATGTTTGGATGTAATTTTCGTAGAATGAAATATCGGTTTGGTGACTCCAATACATCGCTCAATGGCCATCACGCTGCCTAGAAAAAGTGGGCACAGACCAGAGAAAACCATGCAGATGCCAAAAATACTGCAAAGGATGTTTGATTGGTCAAAGCGGATCCAGTCTTTATCAGAAGCATATACAAACACTGCTATCGCTCCATTGATGAGGTGGCCAAAGAAGTCTGTGATTACTAGGCCACTAGCCAAAAGCAAAAACGATGCCTTGGACTTCTGTCTAAATCTCTGATATGCCTTCATGAGAATAGCAATGGCAAGGCTGTTTGATAAGATCCCCACTGTCATGAAGATTATTGAAAAAAATACTGAAAGCCGGTTTTCCGTTGGGCAAGTTGTATTTGAAAGGAGGCCAGCTGCAGGAGACACTGGCTGTTTGGAATTGTTCATGGACATTGTTGTGGAGATAAAAGCCAATCATTCAAGTCATCTCCCTCTCAAAACATTGCAGACTTGCAGTCCGGACATCTGTAGCATAAAGACAGAGGAATTATGAGCACCGTATAAACTGCTCATCTGACATTTAAGACTGAAGCGCCCCGGCACCCTGTGGTGGGAATCAGATTTATCTGGCCTATCATAAGCAAGGTTGCATCATACTGAAAACAGCGCACATCTGCTGTGGTTCCACATTTCATTTTGAAGGTAAAGAAGCTGCCAAATTGGAGACCCCATGGTTAACTCTATGGATCCTCTACAAATGGGCACCTTCTTAATCTCCTCCTGACACTTCACTGACACCTTAAAACTTTCAAGTTTTACAAAATCACTAAGATTAGACTTAACCCCAATAAAGTTTCTTAAGCAAAATAGTGTAGATGACCTTTTAAAGCTTCTGCTTTTTTTTTTTTTTTCTCTGATGCTGACTTTGACCCCAAACCACAAATCACACAAATCATTCCTTAGGTGAACTACCAGTTTGTCCAAATGGAAAGACAATCCTCTCTAAACGTTGGGAAGAGGCAAAGTGGACCAACAAGTTCCCTGATGTTAAATGGGCCTCTCTGAATAAGTTCGAAACTATTTTATTTTGATCAAGTTGATCAAGTGACAGCAAACTGCATGCATCAGTGACCCGCAGAAGCAAAGAGGTGAGTCTCTAGGAAGATTTTCTGGTTTAGCTTCCACCTGTGCAGAAACCCTGGCCCGTGACAGAGCAGGCTGCAGACCTTGCTGTCTCTGCACGTCTGCTTAGATGCCCTTGACGAAGTCATAGCCTCGGGGTAGTAACATCCAGTAAGAAGTACTTATTTGTCGCTTTCCCTAGTGTGTTGAAGCCTGAGTCACAGACACTGGAGATCCAGGATTGCAGTTACCCAGTCCCCGAGCTAATTCGATTGGCGTTTCCCAAGCAGCTTTCCGGGAGGCTGGGAATTCTGGAGCCACCCTTTCCTGGGATGGGCCCTAGACGCTCCCCCACTCCCACCCCGCCTCCCTCCACCTCTGGCCCCAAGTCGTCCCAAGGGCGGCCACGTCCTCCGAGTCTTACGCACAGCTCCACTTTCGCCGGTAACTACCCCTCCGCCCCCACGCCCCTGCTTGCAACATCCTGCCCAAACCTTCTAACTTGCTAAAACTTTGTGCAATTGCTCAAAAGCCAGAGGGGCCAGTTTCCCTCACACCCCGGGGGGGCGCTAAAGTTCAGCATTGGCTTGGAAGTGGGACTTGACTTGTAGCCGCCAGGAAACGAGGGATCTTTCTCTCTGCCAGTCTCCCTCTTCCCAGAGACCACTTTGCACCGGGTCCCCAATGCGCTCAGCTCAGAAACGGAAAAGGTCAAGCCGAGCACCCTTCTCTGAGGGTCTCCCCAGCTTGGGGTATCTGATCTCAACGTGTCGCCAAGGGCAGACTACCGTGTCCTCTATCGCGGGTGACTGCAACTGCCACCGGTGTCCCGGTGCTGGAGTGGTTAAAGCTCATCCCGCGACGCCCCAGTAAGAGCCTGCGGTTGGAGGGGTAGTTACCTTGGCATCCCGGGCCGCCGGCAGAGCTCTCGGCACAGAAGAGTGAGCGCGCACCCGGTGCGCCATGGCGCGCCCGGCTCTGCTCCGCCACCGCAGCAGCAGCAGGTTCCTCCCGTGCAGAGCTGCGCGCCTGCCCCGGGTCCGTAGGGTCTCGCCGTTCTCCCTCCGCGCGCTCCCCCAGAGCTGAACCTGCTGGGCGCGCTCCTCAACTCCTATCCCTCCCGAGCTAGCACGCCTTGGGCGGGATGGAGCGCGCGGTGACCTCCACCCCTTTCTCTTCTCTCTCCTCTCCGCCCCCTTTTTCCTGAACCCGCAGTCGGACCTGGAAAGACGAGGGCAAAGTGCTCGTGTGCTGTGGCCCCAATAGCATCAGAAAGCACCCTTTTAGCAACCCGACAACCACTTAGGGGGAAAGTTGTGTTTTTAAACTCATTTTCATCGTGGAGGATTGTTGGGGCACTGGTGGGGGGGGCAGGGTGTGAAAATGCACATTCGGAAAAGTTTGAACTTAAAACTCCCGGAGCATATACAAACATGTAAACCTATGTTACCTCGATCAACATAATTTGGAAAAAATAAACCTATTTTCAAACTAAAGGCACCATTTCTAATGTTGCAAAGTAGCAGTCTGGAGTGCTGAGGAAAACCTAGACAACTGTCTTGACAGCGTGTTGGATAAACAGATTGTAGTTTGCCGATTTAATTCATTCCAAATCCAACTGAACAGGGATAAAGAAATAAAATAGAAAGAGGTGGTGTATTTGAGAAAAGATTTCATAGCCCCTATCGCCAGGGAGGCAAAAACAGATACTCAGGCCACGTGTTGTAAATGGAAACAGTCACTGCCTTAGGGTTTACTGTCATTTAGAGGACTGAACAGTGTTTGTAGCTTTCTAAGGAATGTGAGAAGAAAAGGATGAGAAACATTCTTGAAGGACCCCTGCAGATATGGGATCAGCAACATTTTAATGAATTTTAAAAGTCCAGTGATAAGAGAATTTTTATTGATGTTTCCCCAAAGAAATGTGCACCTAATGCATTTTATGGAAATCATGTTATGATCAAGTTAGTCTTTATTTGTAATTATAAATCGAACCTTTTTTTTTAAGATTTAATTATTTATTTATACAAGCACTGGGTACAGTCAGACGCGCAGGAGGGTGAGAGAATTCACCAGAGCCAGAGGGAAGAGCAGAGCAGGCAGACTGACGAAATACACTGCTGAGGGGCGCAGCGTGCGGCAGGAGAGGTCTGCGCACCACGTGGGACCCTTGCCCGGGATTGAACCGGCGCTGCAGAGGCTGCGGGCATCTTCGCAGCCCAGCGCTCAACTGTTGTGCCACTGGGGAGGCCCCAATAGAACCATTTTAATACCATAACCATGTTTTGTTAATATTCATCTGTACCTGTTAATTGTGTCTCATTTTTCCAGCTAAACATCATTAGGAACCTATTTTTTATCTTTTTATTTTTAGTAAAATATTTTCACCACCTATGTGGAAAACCAGTGCTACCCAGAAATAAGCCTCTTTTCCCCATTCTAAAATCTGAAGTTCCTCTAAATTCCTAGAAATTGAAAAGGATCATAAAATGTTAGAGCAAGATAAAATAAATTAGCCATTAACTATAGAAAAGAAGGATCGTGCAGTTTTTCACTATGGTAGACATTAAGGGTTTTGTTGTTCTCTTTTTTAATGGTATGGTCATAACTTGAAAAACAAACTGTTACTTGAGTAGTGTCAAGAAATTGAATATTTTTGGTTAATCAAATATTTTCCTTAGTAGAAAAGTATTACATCTGGATGGTCAGTATCTAAATAAGAACTCTGTAATAAAGCAATTTTTTAGTACTACTATTTATTATGTCTTTCCCATTGAACTGAATTCTTACAGAAGTTTTCTTCATTTCTCCAACCTAAGCTAGGACTGTGCTTGTTCACTTATCAAATGTGGAAATTGTAAGTGCTACAATCAGCATGTCCACTTTATAGTTTGAGATCTTGAAAACGCTCCAGCTCTCACTGAAGCACTTTATAATATCAGCTGCTCAATCTACAGGGTTAGGAAAATAATAAAACTTCATTAATGCAATGTCACAGCAAAAGATTCATTATACAATATATTCAAAATAGTATTCATTTATTTTTCAAAACACTAAAATCCAATTTAAAAAAAAACTATCTGGTTTGCATGTTTTCTTGGAGTTCCTATTTTAGAATAATCCATTCCTTAAGCAAGATACATTTTACCTAAGTATCAATTAAAAAGTATAAAACAACTATATCTCTTCTTACCAAGATGAAAATAGTAGTAGTAAGCTACTAATTTGTGTGAGAGCATGAACAACAAACTACTCTTTATTATTGGGGTATAACTGACATATACCATTAGTTTCAGGTGTATGCGTCAACATTTGTATATATTGCAAAATGTTCAGAACAATAGTCTACTAGTCAACATCCATCATCAGTTATAAAATTTTTTTCTTGTAATGAGAACTTTTAAAATCTACTCTTAAACAACTTCCAAATATACAATATAATAACTACCCCTCGGCACTCTTTTGTACATCTTCATGACTTATTTATTAATATTTTATAACTGGAAATTTATACTTTGACCATCATCCATTTTACCTACCTAATCCTTCCCATTGTCTTTGGCAATCACCAATCTGTTCTCTATATCTAATAGCTTGGGTTTAAAGTATTTTTTTTATTTTTAGATTCCACATATAAATTAGTTCATATGAAATATTTGTCTTCCTCTGTCTGACTTATTTCACTCAGCATCATGTCCATGTTAATGCAAATGGCAGGCCTTCATTCCTTTTTATGGCTGAATAATATTTCAATACATTTATACCAAATTTTCCTTTACCATTGACCCATCATATCTTGACTCTTATAAATAATGCTGCAATGAAATGGAAGTGCATGCGTATTTTTGAGTTAGTTTTTGTTTTCTATAGAAAAACATCCTCAAGTGGAATGGCAGACATACATAAAATTAACATTCATGCACCTGCTACCCAATTTAAGGACTGCATTAATTTCCTAGTGCTACTATAAAAAGTACTGCTAACCGGGTGACTTAAACAGACACTACCTGCCTTAAATAGTCTGGAGGCTATAAATCCCAAGAAAAGGCATTGTCAGGGTTAGTCCCTTAGGTGCACTGTGAGGGAGATCTGCTCCATATTCCTTTCCCAGCTTATGGTGACTTGGGGACAATATTTAGCTTATCTTGTTTGTAAATGCAGCATTCCAGTCTCTGCCTGCCTCTTCGCCTGTCACTCTCCTTGCCTCTGTCCTCACTTGGTCATTTTCTCATAAGGATCCTAGTCACATTGGATTGGGGTCCACCCTACTGCAGTATGAACTGATCTTAACTAATAATAATTACATTTGCAACAATCCTATTTCCAAATAAAATTGCATTCTGAGATACAAGGTGTTAGGACATTGACATATCTTTATGAGGGGGGGAGCAATTTACTCCATTATAAGGACTATATTAGGATATTATTAACATAGTTACATCTATCTTTGTTTCTGCCTCCATTCCATTCTTCTACATAGCTCCCTGAGATATACCAGAGATAACCACTATCCTGAATTGTGTTTATCATCATTCTCTTGTATTTTGCATTGCTTATCACATAAATATCAAGATGAATTCAATATTATTTAATTTTCCTTGTTTTATAACAACCTTCTGCAATTTGCTTTTTTCATGTAAGATTAGATGAATACATATTATTGTATGCAGTAGTAGTTTATTCATTTGTAAACTTCTAGAATACCTCAATTTTGTATATCAAAATTTTTTAAATATTATTCTGTCAATAACCTTTGGGGTTATTTCCAGTTTTAGTTCTTAGGAAATATTCTACTCTGAATGGGCTTCTAATATAGTAACTTTTCTTGGGGGGAGGCATATAGCCAATATAAAATTACTGGCTCAACCCAAATGCCCAAAAATAGATGACTGGATCACGAAGATGTGGAAAATATAGACAATGGAATATAACTCCATAATCAAAAAAGATAAACTCATGCAATTTGCAGCAACATAGATGGAGCTGGAAGGGATCATGCTCAGTGAAATAAGTCAGAAAGAAAAAGAAAAATACTGGATGGTCTCACTAATAGAAGGAATTTAGAAAACCTAAATAAGGGATCAGGAAAAAAGACTAATTAAATAAAGCAAAAATCAAAATCAAGAAGCAATTATAAACCAGAGACACACTATGGGGGGGGGATGGGGAGGGGGAAGAAGGGAGTAGGATCAAAACAAGGGGGGGTGGGGATTGTACGGGGACTATAACCAAGATGAAAATGCATACATTGTGCAAAAATGAAAAATAATGTAAAACATATATAAAATAAAAATTAAAAATGCTGCAACCTGGGAGTAATAAATACAAAGGAATAAAAAAAATAAAATTACTGGGTCATAGGGTATGAGGATGTTCAACATTGAAAGATAATGCACAAATGTTGTATCAATTCACTCCTTCATACTGCCTAAGAATTCCTCTTCACTAACATTTGAGACAATGCTTAAAGTCATCTAGTTTTCTTAACTACCATCAATGAGATGGTTGTAAAATGATGTTACATCATGGACCTAAATTATATTTTCCTTTGCACTGACGTTTCTTGTTTTATGAAATACCTGTTTGTCTCTTGTCTGATTTTTTATTGAGTTGCTTGTGTTCTTATTAATTCTTTATGTGTTCTAGAAACTAAGCCTCTAGCAGTTATATATTTTGTAAACATCTTTTTTCCAAATCACAGCTTGCCTTTTCTTTTCTTTATGCCATCACTTTTTACAAGCAGCTCTTAGTTTTAGTGTGATGAAATTTAAAATACTTAAATTTTCTGTTATATTTCAGCATTTTTCTGTCATATTTTATGTCTTTACAGAGGAATCTTGAATATGTATTTTATAAACATTTTAACATTTCTGCTTTCCACACTTGAGTCTTTAATCATTTAGATAATGATTTTTTACTTACATGAAGGAGGAAATCCAGTTTTTTTCCTCCATTTTGATAATCAGTTTTCATGGTGCC